ACTCTGGTCTTTTGCTTTGCCTTTGGTACATGAGAAACGAATACTGTAGAAGTTGTTGATATAAGATTTTGCGTTGGTATATTCCGTACAAACCGCAAACGTCATTACCGTCAACCTCAAAACTGGTGAGCCCAACCGCGAACTTCATCTCCGATAAATACGTAGATAACCCCGGTGAGTTCGTTCCATTTTGTATTTGTTCTTGTGCTATATTGTAATCGGCATACACTTCGTCATGAGTGATCTTAGTACCAAGGTCATTCGTATTCATTCATTTGACAAAACCGTTCAGGGCTTACCATATTGGCCAAATAATACGGAAACGTGGTTTCAGATAGCTGAGTCTGATTTTTGTGAGCATTGGATAACCGATCAACGTTCACAGTTCCTTGCAGTTATTCACACCCTGCCGCGGGAATCCAGCAAGTGCATAACTGTGCAGATGTTGAGACCCGAGGTAAGTAACTCGTACGAGTTGCTTAAAGCATCCCTCCTCAGGAGAAACGTTCTCACAGATTGACAACGTCTGGACGAATTATTTCGTAACATCGAGTTGGGGGATCAGTCAGCCGTGAGCATGCTGACAAGAATGAGAGAGGTTATTGGCCAAAGTCAGTTTGATGAAGGACTTTTCAGAGAACTCTTCTTATCCAAGCTGTCACAGTCCGTGCAGACTGTACTTGTGACAATTCAGGGTGTTATTTTAGACGAGTTAGCTGTTTCTTCAGATAAGATTCTAGAAGTAAGTAAACGGTCAGTTCCTGAAATACACGCGGTGGCCAAACAGACTTCGAGTAAGGATACTGCAGTGATACAGTTATGCAACTCAATCCAGCAGATGCTTAAGTCAAACATACATTGCAATCCCTCTTACCGTCATCCGAACTCTCCTCAACGGTGAAACTCACGTGGTCGATCTAAGTCCAAGCCACGTTCACTGAAAAACCCTGACTGGTGCTGGTATCACAACACCTATGGCAACGAAGCGAAATGTAGCCGTAAACCTTGTAACTTCGGAAATGTATCAAAGTCTGTGGGAAACTATCCCGCCGGTACGCGTTAGCGGCAACCGTCGCCGGTGGTACTAGCCGCCTAATTTACATCCATGATGTGATCAGCCAGACTCGATATTTAGTCGACACAGCGCCGAAGTCAGCGTCCTTCCTTCTATAGCAGCAGATCGACAGAAGGAACCTACCTTCAACTTACAGGCTGCAAATGGAAAACCAGTCACAACACTTAGTAAGAAATACGTCCATCTGAACGTGGGTTTACGCAAACCTATTCACTGGATTTTCCTTCTCGCCGACGTCGCCATGCCCATCATTGGCACGGACCTACTTAATCATTATGATTTACTCGTAGACGTTCGCCGAAAACGACTGATTGACAATACTACTAGTCTGTCCATCAAAGGCATCGCCTACATAGGCCCCAGCTTGTCACCCGTTAAGATAAAGGCAATCATTGATCCAGCTTTTCAACCGATCGTTGATAAATATGAGCATTAATCAAGTCACAAACGATGAACACTGTGACAATATATTAAACTTCATGTACCACAGCATCACATGTTACATTTGAGGAACCGAAAGATTCACAACAACACACCTGATTTTAAGACTTCGCAGTGCTTCTTGGTCAATGGAGCTTCATTCTGCAAGGTAATTATCCGTTACTGCTGGAGTCTCACCGACCATGTACATGGTCCGGGCTTCGATCCTCTGATGACACACAACTGATTTGAATTGTCCGTATGCTAAATTTGGGCTACCGATATCACATGCTGAAAATTGCACAGTTGTGCCAAAATACTGTGTGGAATCAAGCTATGGTAAATAAAATAAATATATACACATATGTTAAGACAAGATTACTCCGTCATCTGTGGCTGCTCTGACTACCTCCTCTGGTATCCATAATGGAGTTACTACTCTGGTGCAGCAATATCCAGTTTCTGTGGATGATGATATGAACATGGCTTAGCTGACACCGCCGATCGCATTTGCAAACGAAGGTTTGAACAAGGACGGAATATAGTGGAGCAACCATAAACTGATCGGATAACAAGCCGAGCTTGCGGTGGCTGCAAATTGCTTGACAGATAGAAATCCATCTACACTAAACAAAGAGCTAGACTAAGGACATTAGTGACTACCCAGTTTCCAATAAAAGCATCCAACTCAATCATACTGAAGGCTCATCACCAGCCCAGATAAGTCAATGGCAACGTCACTGACTGCGGCACTGGGTAAAACGGGTTCACATCCCATAGGCGACATGGGTTCCTTCAAGTTTGCAATGACGCCTTGCTAACGAATTCCATCAAGCACGAAACTTAAGTCCAGGGCTTTTACCGACTACCCCCAACCATAAATTTACAGTGGTTCAGAATGCAAATTACGTGATTTGTCATGCCTATTGTCCTTTTCAAAAGTATGCTTCGTGGGAAGTAACAAACCAAGAGGAATTAGCAGTAGTTAGGGTGGCGTCAATAAAACCAGGTCCATGAAATTGAGGAAGTGTCTTATCCCATATTAGTTCGTTTATTTGATATATCACACAGTGAAAGTGTTATCTACGGGATCCAGTGAATGATACTGTTTCACTGTGTGATGCATCTAATAAGCAAACTAATATGGAATTACTTACTAATACAGTGCCCACGTTTTTCACATATGTTGAAGCATTTCATCCATTTATTGCTGGCAGTGCTATAATATGTTGTACTTGGCTTACTGTTCCACTTAGACTCATTCTTGCCGCCCCTAATCTAACAAGTTCGTCCTAAAAATACGTTTAAACATTTAGTGTATTAGTCGACAGGTGAAGGTTTCTATGCGGTAAAAAAACTTTGCCCCGCGAGCTCAACGCTGATCTTAGCAACTTACGTAAAGAAAGTGTAACCAATCAATCAAGAATGATGACTTGATGTATAAAGCCCCAAATGCAACTACGTTGATAATGGAAACATTTAGGTACACAAAATTCAAGGATAAGAAATCCAACGGGGGCCCAGCGCTGACTGCTGATAACGACACAATCTAAGCGGCTAGGAAAAGGCAAAGGCAATGGCAAAAATATTTTTACAGAGTCCCCACCCAATTGTCAAGACACTGCATACCATCTTCTCTGGCCGCATTAGAGAAATGCCAATTAAGTTTCCTTGACATTGGCCTCGACATCGCATTTTAATCTCTGGGGAAACCAGAATCAGGTAGATCGACAGGCTCCGATGACCTTCACCCAAAGCTCCTCATGGAGGTTGCAGCTCACACAACCGGCCCACTGAATACTATCTTCAAACCCTCCTGAATAGAATGTTGCTCTGCGCCATAGTGCCACGCATCCACAAAGGAGGATCAGGACAGTGTGCTTCAGACTACAGGCCTATCAGTCTCACCAGCGAGTTAATCAAAATACTTGAAAGAATCATCAAGGAAGCTATCATGGTATATCTGGAGCACAGATCGTCATCCGAGGAGGCCTCTAATGCCTGTCAAATCTTACGCAAACAGAAATGCTGAGTCAAGCCAGGGGAAGGCAGAAGAGCCGTTGACGTTAAGTTCGTACACTTCAGCAAGGCCTTCTATAAAGTGCTTACGAACTAAGAAAGTCTTGGAATTCAGTGTGGCTTACTAAGCTGGATTAGGGAACTACTCATAGGTAGGAGAAAGACAGTCAATCTCAACTCAACTCTCCAGTACGTCATGGAGTGACACGAGCCACTATTCGAGCCCCTCTTATTCATTTTTTATATCAATGAGTTACGTATGCTCAATGATTCCCTCATGGACCTTTAATCAAATGACCTAAAATGTTTGCAGAGAGCCGAATTCCGACAGTCACATGCTTACATCGCAACGAAATCTCAACGAATTCTATGTATTTTCAACGAAATGAAATGCGAAACCACACGCAATGAGCACGCAAGCATCAGCTGATACAAACCAGATGCGATAACGATCCCATCATCTAAGACTTATATGGATCTAGATGTCATAATAAGTCCCGACTAAACAAACCATAGCACACTATCAATATCATGAGCGGGTATTGGCTACAAATCAGCCAATGGGAGTAACCCAGATGTACTTCCTCAACCAATGACAGTTAACTTTTGAGAACTGCGTTACAATGAATCTTAATTAGTGATTAATAATACATCATTTCAAATAATATACTCTTTTAATATAAACAATCAATTAAATATACTTTTACTATCTAAATACATCACCAAAGGCCCCTCTCTCAGAAATCTTTTACTGCACTGAAATCCTTCGAAGCGGGTGAATCCACAATTTGTATTTCCACTGCTGTGAGTTGTCTGCGTGCTTGTCAACCTTCTTTTTTACGAATTTTTCCAAGTAATTACTTGCACACTTATATGTTTTATATTGCAAATATAACAGTACTGGCCATTTTTATTATTAGGCATAGCGTGTAAGTTGTGTAGACCGCAGGAATCCGTTTTTTAACCGTTTTTCCGATTTCTTCCAGGTAACATGAGCTCCGTCAAGCATCACTAATACACTAAATGACAGCAGACCACCAGCTAATGTCGAACCATAACTTTGAATAACAAAAATGATGACAGAAGAGAAAGACGGGGGCGGAAAAGAACAAAACGGTTATGAAAAATATCTTTAAAAAGGCCTACGTCTATTGAATACCAATCGCAGCACACAATTTTCCTGCATCATTTGTACTAACGGTTTATTCGTTTGATCAAGTTTACATTCAAGTTGAGCAAATTTGTAAAGTAATTCATTATGAGACCAGTTTAATTCAGACGTCATAGATGGTAAGCGACTATCAAGATACTTACTTAACGCTTCAATTGGTATATGTGGTGAATGCGCAGTTTCTTCTAGTTTCTCTGCATCAACGGTACTAGGATGACGATTAGACGTATCTATCGGCATCGGCGGTAAACTTTTCTTATCTTCTAATATTGGATCATACGGATGATTTGTAAGCGATTTCAATGATGATGATGATGATGACTTCTGGTTTATGCTATCAGCAGTATCACTGTCTATCAGTAAACTTTGATCTAATAATGATCGATTTGAACTAATAATATTGGTGAGTGGTTTTGATTCTGGTTGATCGAATACATGCGGCATTACTGACCATCTTGTTAGTGATTTAGACTGTTCTGTTTTTCCCGTTGTTTTTGTTGTATTGTATTAGTTAATTCGCTTAAAGGTTGACGAATTTGGCTATTACTACATGTTAGGTGAGTACTATTCATTGATGTACTGTAAGAATTTTTATTGGTTATTTGAGAAGTTGATAAATTGCATAATGTATTATTATTATTATTATTAATAAAGCCTACGTCATTTAGATCAGCTCGTAAAGTGGATGAGAATGAAAGTAGACGAATAGAATGATTACCTGATCCAATAGAGATACAATGAATTGGTGTAGACATATTCTGTACATTATATAACCATACTTCACCATTTACTAAACCAGTTGCAAGAATATGCGTTCTTGAAGCGACATCAATACTTAGATAACCGTGTTGTTCATCCACTGGTGATAAACATGTGACAGGTTTTTGTTGTTGTTGTTGTTTCTGTTGACCTGATGTCGACAGTATATACCACACAGGCAAATTTAAATCTGGTAATCCTGCACTATACAATAATTGATCATCATTCGATGAAAATGCAATGCGTATACAACCTTCATAATAATCTTTGAATAACTTTGAATCATCAACTTTATATTTCATATCCTGTGGTGCATTGTTTGAAATGTGAACTCTAAGCTGTATTTTTCATAATTTTTACTTATCTTTGTTCTTTTGGCATTGGTTTTTTCCCTTTATTTATTTATTTTTTTGATTGTAAAAGTCTTATAAAATTTATGAGGTAATTAGATGCAATATATTGTAATGCATGCTGAAAATTCCATACCTGTACCACAAATACCGTTTGGAATAAAGCTGTTAATATTATTATTGTTATTAAACTGATTTCATTCATACTTGTAGCTAAAGATTTAACATCCCAATAATTTAAAATGTAATTGTTTGTATCACCAGTAACTGGCTATTGTATATTCCATAAGATTATAGAACCATTAGATTAACCACAGCATATGAGATGGCCATTAAATTTAGAAGTTTATAACATACAACATTTAGGTAGGGAAGTAACACAACCTTTGACCTGTGAATATTGACAAGGGAAAGGTAATACGATGTTTTCACATCGACCATTAGTACTAGTTTTATCCGAAGCTGCTAAGAATAATACAATAGAGCCATTATTATATCCAGCAGCAATAATACGATCATTTAACACCCAACTAATACACTTGGGTTGTAATTCATTAGGTAATATATTAAATGGATGTAGATTAGTATAGCGTAATTGACATCGTAGTGTTATTTGCTTATTTCACAATTATAAACATTTATCAAACCAGTATTAATGCCAACAGCTAGATATCTGCCTGAACTTCTAGGGAAACCGATACACGTGGCTGTACAATTTTCAGATTGTAAACTCAACGTCAGTATATCAGAAGTTGTCTTTCCATAGTCATGATTTTTGCCAAACAATAATTGTTGAAGGTAAACAGATCCACCAGATTTATCAATAACAGCTAGCTTAAATGATCGAGGATTCCACTGGATTGATTGAATCGGACTGGTTGATATTGGTTGAGGTTATACCTCCTTGTACTGCCACTTACCCCATCTTATTCGTTTTATCAGCACAATCAAGAATCTACATGTCTGAGCGACAGTTTAACACAGACATTGGTTGATTTTTTGTGATGAAAGCAGCTTGGAAGTGAGTTAGAAATTAAAGCGATCTGTGCCTTATTTACTGTCTTATAAGCTGAAGATGACTGTTTTATAGCAAATCCTGAATAAAAGTGACTAATAGGATTAATTTCTAATACCGTAGAAACGCCTTAAGGTGCAACCTTAGAACATTTCTCAACTAATTCTAACCTACTCGTCAATAATGCCAATTTACAGTGAATGAATATTTTATCTACATGAAATGATCACATCATGTAATGAAATAACCCTGGTCGTTCTTAAAAAAAGCCCTGGACGCTGAATCTGGGCTAAGAATGCTGAAATAAGGCTGATAAGCAGACACAGCAGGTTCCGAGCTACTTCAGAAAATGCCCAGAAGATGAACAGGGGCTAAATTAGTGCCATTCATGTTGAAAATTAGAATTAGTTGAGAATTGTTGTAAGGTTGCACCTTAAGGCGTTTCTACGGTATTAGAAATTAATCCTATTAGTCACTTTTATTCAGGATTTGCTATAAAACAGTCATCTTCAGCTTATAAGACAGTAAATAAGGCACAGATCGCTTTAATTTCTAACTCACTTCCAAGCTGCTTTCATCACAAAAAATCAACCAATGTCTGTGTTAAACTGTCGCTCAGACATGTAGATTCTTGATTGTGCTGATAAAACGAATAAGATGGGGTAAGTGGCAGTACAAGGAGGTATAACCTCAACCAATATCAACCAGTCCGATTCAATCAATCCAGTGGAATCCTCGATCATTTAAGCTAGCTGTTATTGATAAATCTGGTGGATCTGTTTACCTTCAACAATTATTGTTTGGCAAAAATCATGACTATGGAAAGACAACTTCTGATATACTGACGTTGAGTTTACAATCTGAAAATTGTACAGCCACGTGTATCGGTTTCCCTAGAAGTTCAGGCAGATATCTAGCTGTTGGCATTAATACTGGTTTGATAAATGTTTATAATTGTGGAAATAAGCAAATAACACTACGATGTCAATTACGCTATACTAATCTACATCCATTTAATATATTACCTAATGAATTACAACCCAAGTGTATTAGTTGGGTGTTAAATGATCGTATTATTGCTGCTGGATATAATAATGGCTCTATTGTATTATTCTTAGCAGCTTCGGATAAAACTAGTACTAATGGTCGATGTGAAAACATCGTATTACCTTTCCCTTGTCAATATTCACAGGTCAAAGGTTGTGTTACTTCCCTACCTAAATGTTGTATGTTATAAACTTCTAAATTTAATGGCCATCTCATATGCTGTGGTTAATCTAATGGTTCTATAATCTTATGGAATATACAATAGCCAGTTACTGGTGATACAAACAATTACATTTTAAATTATTGGGATGTTAAATCTTTAGCTACAAGTATGAATGAAATCAGTTTAATAACAATAATAATATTAACAGCTTTATTCCAAACGGTATTTGTGGTACAGGTATGGAATTTTCAGCATGCATTACAATATATTGCATCTAATTACCTCATAAATTTTATAAGACTTTTACAATCAAAAAAGTAAATAAATAAAGGGAAAAAACCAATGCCAAAAGAACAAAGATAAGTAAAAATTATGAAAAATACAGCTTAGAGTTCACATTTCAAACAATGCACCACAGGATATGAAATATAAAGTTGATGATTCAAAGTTATTCAAAGATTATTATGAAGGTTGTATACGCATTGCATTTTCATCGAATGATGATCAATTATTGTATAGTGCAGGATTACCAGATTTAAATTTGCCTGTGTGGTATATACTGTCGACATCAGGTCAACAGAAACAACAACAACAACAAAAACCTGTCACATGTTTATCACCAGTGGATGAACAACACGGTTATCTAAGTATTGATGTCGCTTCAAGAACGCATATTCTTGCAACTGGTTTAGTAAATGGTGAAGTATGGTTATATAATGTACAGAATATGTCTACACCAATTCATTGTATCTCTATTGGATCAGGTAATCATTCTATTCGTCTACTTTCATTCTCATCCACTTTACGAGCTGATCTAAATGACGTAGGCTTTATTAATAATAATAATAATAATACATTATGCAATTTATCAACTTCTCAAATAACCAATAAAAATTCTTACAGTACATCAATGAATAGTACTCACCTAACATGTAGTAATAGCCAAATTCGTCAACCTTTAAGCGAATTAACTAATACAATACAACAAAAACAACGGGAAAAACAGAACAGTCTAAATCACTAACAAGATGGTCAGTAATGCCGCATGTATTCGATCAACCAGAATCAAAACCACTCACCAATATTATTAGTTCAAATCGATCATTATTAGATCAAAGTTTACTGATAGACAGTGATACTGCTGATAGCATAAACCAGAAGTCATCATCATCATCATCATTGAAATCGCTTACAAATCATCCGTATGATCCAATATTAGAAGATAAGAAAAGTATACCGCCGATGCCGATAGATACGTCTAATCGTCATCCTAGTACCGTTGATACAGAGAAACTAGAAGAAACTGCGCATTCACCACATATACCAATTGAAGCGTTAAGTAAGTATCTTGATAGTCGCTTACCATCTATGACGTCTGAATTAAACTGGTCTCATAATGAATTACTTTACAAATTTGCTCAACTTGAATGTAAACTTGATCAAACGAATAAACCGTTAGTACAAATGATGCAGGAAAATTGTGTGCTGCGATTGGTATTCAATAGACGTAGGCCTTTTTAAAGATATTTTTCATAACCGTTTTGTTCTTTTCCGCCCCCCGTCTTTCTCTTCTGTCATCATTTTTGTTATTCAAAGTTATGGTTCGACACTAGCTGGTGGTCTGCTGTCATTTAGTGTATTAGTGATGCTTGACGGAGCTCATGTTACCTGGAAGAAATCGGAAAAACGGTTAAAAAACGGATTCCTGCGGTCTACACAACTTACACGCTATGCCTAATAATAAAAATGGCCAGTACTGTTATATTTGCAATATAAAACATATAAGTGTGCAAGTAATTACTTGGAAAAATTCGTAAAAAAGAAGGTTGACAAGCACGCAGACAACTCACAGCAGTGGAAATACAAATTGTGGATTCACCCGCTTCGAAGGATTTCAGTGCAGTAAAAGATTTCTGAGAGAGGGGCCTTTGGTGATGTATTTAGATAGTAAAAGTATATTTAATTGATTGTTTATATTAAAAGAGTATATTATTTGAAATGATGTATTATTAATCACTAATTAAGATTCATTGTAACGCAGTTCTCAAAAGTTAACTGTCATTGGTTGAGGAAGTACATCTGGGTTACTCCCATTGGCTGATTTGTAGCCAATACCCGCTCATGATATTGATAGTGTGCTATGGTTTGTTTAGTCGGGACTTATTATGACATCTAGATCCATATAAGTCTTAGATGATGGGATCGTTATCGCATCTGGTTTGTATCAGCTGATGCTTGCGTGCTCATTGCGTGTGGTTTCGCATTTCATTTCGTTGAAAATACATAGAATTCGTTGAGATTTCGTTGCGATGTAAGCATGTGACTGTCGGAATTCGGCTCTCTGCAAACATTTTAGGTCATTTGATTAAAGGTCCATGAGGGAATCATTGAGCATACGTAACTCATTGATATAAAAAATGAATAAGAGGGGCTCGAATAGTGGCTCGTGTCACTCCATGACGTACTGGAGAGTTGAGTTGAGATTGACTGTCTTTCTCCTACCTATGAGTAGTTCCCTAATCCAGCTTAGTAAGCCACACTGAATTCCAAGACTTTCTTAGTTCGTAAGCACTTTATAGAAGGCCTTGCTGAAGTGTACGAACTTAACGTCAACGGCTCTTCTGCCTTCCCCTGGCTTGACTCAGCATTTCTGTTTGCGTAAGATTTGACAGGCATTAGAGGCCTCCTCGGATGACGATCTGTGCTCCAGATATACCATGATAGCTTCCTTGATGATTCTTTCAAGTATTTTGATTAACTCGCTGGTGAGACTGATAGGCCTGTAGTCTGAAGCACACTGTCCTGATCCTCCTTTGTGGATGCGTGGCACTATGGCGCAGAGCAACATTCTATTCAGGAGGGTTTGAAGATAGTATTCAGTGGGCCGGTTGTGTGAGCTGCAACCTCCATGAGGAGCTTTGGGTGAAGGTCATCGGAGCCTGTCGATCTACCTGATTCTGGTTTCCCCAGAGATTAAAATGCGATGTCGAGGCCAATGTCAAGGAAACTTAATTGGCATTTCTCTAATGCGGCCAGAGAAGATGGTATGCAGTGTCTTGACAATTGGGTGGGGACTCTGTAAAAATATTTT